CCAAACCTAAGCCACCCCTCCTATTCAACATCAAGACACGCTCACATCTCACCTGCTCTTTTAAAAATAACTCAGCCTTATCGATACCTACGCTACCATATAATTCTCTCCTGATCCCGCCCCAAGTACTTGAAAGGGTAGTCTTTACTCCTTGCTTCAATTTTGTCAACACCCATCCTCTAGTGAATTTCTTATCATCGGAAATGATGCATGCATGAATTTTATGAAATGGTTAACTTCAAGCTATTCTCTCAGTCAACTAGTTCTGATAAAACTTGAAGCAAAATATATCTCTCTTACTCCTGGGTTACTCCTGGCTTGATTTAGATATCCTCATATTCCTAGCTGGGGCTTTCCAAAGTTAAGACCGATAGTTAAACTACTCATTGCCCACACCCATCCCACGTTCCAGCCAAGAGGCCAACAGAAGGTTAGTTTGGAACCAGTGTGTCCAGGAAGATCTGGCAGGGGCAACCTGCCCAATCGTGGAGTTTATAATTCCCGGAACACCTCAGGGAACAACTTTTACAGGAAAAAAGCTCTTAAAAGATGTTATCACAGATAGGAATGAAAAACCACAGGAGAAAATTCAGGTTCATTGAAAACAAACAACAACAAAAAAGAGATCATTCTAAAAGCTAATCTACAGAGGGCTGTGTTTGAGGCATTGTTATAAACACGTTAGAGACATTGTTTTCCAGAGAAGAAAACACTGCCAAATTTTAAAACAACCAGTGTCATCGTTAGTAGGTGGTAGAGCTATCATTCGAACTGAGTCACTGTTTCTTTAATCTGTGCTCTTAAGCACTAAGACACACTGTCTCCTGTAAGGTACCTGACAGCTTTTATTATAAGTGCTTTAAAACATTTAAAGAAAAGAAGCCAACAGAACATAATATTCATGAAGCTAAAGAAAGAATATTAGAAACCCTAAAAATGTAATCTAAAACTATTACAATTATAAAAATGAAAACATCTAGTTTTCAAGTTAAATAGGATTCAGAATTAGTGTACAGTGTTTTGATTTTGCCATATAGGTGCTACACAGAACTGACTAATAATTTCTTGCTGAACTTGATATGACTGATTACTTTTTTTCTTTTTGAACCAAAATGTGTTTCATATTTATGAATATTTTAAAAAAATCATTTTATTGGCGACTCGTATAAATCTTATCACAATCCATACATCCATCCATTGTGTCAGGCACACTTGTACATTTGTTGCCATCATCATTCTCAAACATTTTCTTTCTACTTGAGCCCAACTGGGCATCCCCTTACAGAAGGGTCTTGGGGAGGAGACTAGCTGGTCAGGGTGCAGTATAGCAATGATGAAATATACAACTTTCCTCTAGTTCTTTAATGCTCCCTCCATCCCACTATCATGATCCCAATTCTACATTACAAATCCTGCTGGATCAGTGCATGTACACTGGTACAGATAAGAGCTGGAAACACAGGGAATCCAGGACAGAAAAACCCCTCAGGACCAGGGATGGGAGTTGCAATACCAGCAGGGGAAGGGAAAGGTGGGGGGAGAAAGGGAAAACCAATCACATTGATCTGCATATAATCCCCTCCCTCGGGGACGGACAATAGAAAAGTGGGTGAAGGGAGACGTCGGTCAGTGTAAGAGATGACAAAATAATAATTTATAAATTATCAAGGGTTCATGAGAGAGGGAGGATGGGGGAAGGTGAGGGGGCGGGATGAGGAGCTGATACCAAGGGCTCAAGTAGAAAGAAAATGTTTTGAAAGTGATTTACGAATGTTTTATGAACTTTTGAGGAGATATATTCTCTGTTATCAAAGTATAGAAAAAAGCCAAACCTGTTGCCATCAAGTGGATTAGAATTCATAGTGATCCAATAGAGTAGAACAGGTTCATAGGGTTTCCCAATTTATGTTTACAGAAACAGGCTGCCACATCTTTCTCCAGCACTTAGAATTGAATATTGACAATGCATATTCCGGAGGGCGTGGGGGGGGCGTTATAAGGTGACACTTTTGTCACGTTTGAGCCTGTGTGTCCCTAGTTGGATGTATGGGACACTCTGCAGTAGTACAGGAGCATGAATCGTTGGTCGAATGGCTATTCCTGAAAGCCACACAGTCCTACAGGCTCCCCCGGGTGGGTGAAGGCTCTCCCTGTGGGTGTGCAATCGCTGATTGTAAAACACCTCTCCATAAATGCAGTTAAGATAAAGAGGTTCAAACATCATTTAAGGAGCCTTGGTGGTACAGTGATTAAAGAGAATGGTCAGTGGTTCGCCCACCATTGCTCTGAGGGGAAAGAAGTGGTTGTCTGATTCCTGGAAGATGTCAGACATGGAACCCCTCTAGGGCAGTTCCACGCTGTCCTAAGGGGACTCTGGATATGAACTTGGCCTCAGGCACAATGAGTTACAGGTGGCTAAGTACAAAGCAGGGCATTCAAAGCAATGTGAAACTCTTGTTTCTCAGCATATGCTCTATTTGTGGTTCAGTGCTTCTGAGAGCAATGCTTCCATATCGCTAACTCTTTCCAGATGAATTAATTCTGCTAGCTTGTGTTTAAGCCATGTCAAAAGGGCAGCTTTAACCTTCTTGGGGGAAAAAATTGTGCTTCTTTCAAATGGTCTTTGATTTTTGAGAATAAAAAGAAATCTGGAGAGGCAAGATCGGGGTTGTAGGGTGGACACGGGGATGTTTTAGAGTGAAATTCTTGTAGGACAGGCTGTCGTGATGGGGAAAAATTGGGGAGCAAATGTCCTGGCCCTTCTGTCACCAGTAGTTTTCAATTTTCTTACAACTACTTGCTAATCAGCCTGTGATAGTCTGGTGTCCTTCAAGAAAGTCTGACTTCAACAGTTCGAACCTTGTCAGTGGATCTGCCCTTGGATGCAGGCTGGACCTGATTTGGATTTCCACATTTTCTGTATCAGTGGTTTGTTATGTTTTGTTTCATTTTTGCTTGTTCATATTAGGGTGTAGCTCAGAGGTGTTATGTCATTGGCGGTCATGCTCTTGAATTTGTGTTGTATGTTTTTCTGTGTTTTGGTATATGAAACCCAGTATTGATGAACCTATAGGGACAGCAAGTAGAATAAAGGTTTCATGGATGGGGGTGGGGACAGGGGTATGGATGGGGTAAAAGGGAGACAATGTCAAGGAGAGCAGGAAAAAGAATGTGTGGAAACGGAATGTGATAGCAATTGCGCAATTCTGCTTGACATGATTGAACTATGGAATGATATATGTGTCAATTCCCAATTAATAACAAAGGTTAAAAAATAAAATCTATCAACATTATCCTTCTGGAGTTCTCAGAAACAATTGCCTTAACCTTCTGAACCATCCTCTTTCTTGAATTTAACTGGGCCAGCAGATGCCCTCCCAAATCATGATTTTTGATTGGACCTTTTATTCTGAAACCTCCCTAATAAGACTAAGAGAAATATATTACTGAAAGAACTCATCTTCCAGTACCCATTGATTGAAGAGATATGCTTAAACATACTTTGTTTGCAATAAGCCTGTCCGTGTATGCACTAGAACTCTCAGAGTAATACTTCTTAATTTACCCTTATCCTTGATTTACTTAAGAATATAAATCCGAGCGGAGAAGAGTGAAGGGAGACTGGAGGGGCCACTGTTTCAATTGAGAAAAAATTTGAATTCCTCCCTCAGTTTCCAGCCCTCAGCTAACGAATTTCCTTTGTAAACTTACCTAGCACTTAGTGTTGGGGATAGACGTCTGTGGCATCCAGCAGGGCAGACAGATAGCTCTTTAGAGTGTCACCTGAATTCCTGTAGTAGTCATCACTGCTAACCCCCTCTTTCCAACTCCCACAAAGAGATTGAAATGAGTCGGAATTTAATGGTCTGTTTCCCTTTCTCTTTCTTATAACAGCTTTATATATTTTCAGACATTTGCTGTCATCTTGAGAGTGCCTCAGGAAGAGGAGATAAATAATCATTCAACATATTTAAATTAAAAAGCCCTCATTTTATATGCACATACTCTGACATAGTCTCTAGTTCTCATCTTTGTGAAATAAACGAAAAAGAATGGACATCAGATCTAGCCTTTATTTTTGCTGAAAGTTGCACTGTAGACTCTCGTCCATATTGTAGCATGCTTGAGATGCTGTTGATTCTTTTGAGGCTGGGGCAGCCAGAAACCTGCTTCTATCTGCATTGCCCTCCATTCACTGTGTTAATAGGGATTTTCCATAGTATTCTCTCCCCAGGGTCTGTTGGGTTTCGACCTTTGATTTTTGGCACTTGCCCGAGGAGCCCCCTCTACTAATCTTGTATTCCCACTTTAGACCCAACAATGAAGAGTAGGTTAAACAGAAGACGTGCTCGTAGTTCTAAGAAGCAAAAATGAATTGATTTGCTGATATTTACAAGCCCGTAAATGAGATAACTTGGACAGTGCCTCTATTTCAAGGATTATCTATAAGTGTAATGGGCAGGGTTTGTGTCCACTTGATCTTACTTGGTTGGAAGTTAAGGTGGAATCCAACCCATCCAATCATTCACACAGTGTACTTTGGAGCCTTGAATGTTAGCATCCAGCGGTGTAGCAAGTACTCACGTAAGCCCTCACTAGTCTTCTCCAAATCACCTATCCTCTGCTGTGAAACAATGTTGAAGTAAATGATCCCTTGGGGTCCTTGCAGCCTTGGCACCCCGGAGCAGCAGGAGACACTCGGCTTCATAACAAAGCCCACATCTTCCCTGTCGGGGGCTAGAGATGCCCAGTTAAACAGGAATGACCTGTGCACGGGATAGAGCCTAAGCCTGGCCTGGCAAAATAAGCGAAGGAAGTGCACTGATAAGAGCAGTTGGAAACCTAATGCTGAAGCAGCATCTGCAGCAGAGAACAATGTCCAGCCTTCAGCACAGGCAGGGCTGCTGCTGCTCCCCGCCTTGTAATTGGGAGCTCTTGATTGGTCCAAAGAGGGACAGAGGGCTGGGAAAGAGCCTCTACATATTCCTCAGAAGGCAAGGCCGTCCCAGGCAGTTTTGAAGTTTTCAAAGACCATCTCTGCTGTTAAGAATCTGTGCTGAAAGCTGAAGATCGAAGCCATTTGCCAAAATGTGTAAAGGACTTGCAGCTTTGCCCCACTCATGTCTGGAAAGGTGAGAAACCAAGTTATTTTGGTGTAAGGGTTGGAGATAGAGAGACTCTTTCCATAGGGAAGGAGTGCAGCAGGAGCCACTGCGGTTAGTAGCTAAGCTGAGATGCAAAAGGTGCTTGATTCTAGACTCTAGGGAGTTATCTCTCCATTAATAATGCAGAATTGGACTTTAGCAGTGACTGTCCAAGAGCCAAACCAGAAGCCTGATACAACATAGGATAGATAGGTCATGCATCATTTTGTATCCAGAACAGTGTTCCTTCAGGGAGAATGCTTATTCTCTCGATGTTTCTTATGAGGAAAATAAGAGTGTGGAGTCTATTGCCAAATTCTCTGGGTACGAATCCTGGCTCCTCCTGACTGTGGCATTGGGCAAGTTACTTCATCTCTGTTTCTCAGTTAGCTTCCCTATGAAATGTATCTACCTCATAGGAGCCAGTGAAATAATGCACGTGAAATGCTGATAGTAGTCTGGCACTTGGCAAGCACAAAACCCACTGCACTGAGCTGGTTTTGACTCGGAGCAATTCTATCTGGAACAGACTAGAACGTCTCCTTCCAGTTTCTGAGTCTTTGGATCTTCCAGGCCTGGGTAGCCTCCACTTTCTCCCTTGGAGCAGCAAGTAAGTTCGAGCTGGTTCCTTTTGACCTGTGGTTAGCAGCTCAGTTCTTATCCCATGGCACAATCAGGGCTCCTTTGACGCTAGAACGCTGTAGATGTTAACTTTTATTAATGTACCCGGGCTGGGAGAGAAAGGCTGGTCTGTAACAGAGCAGTGGGGATTTGTCATGGTTCTTTGTATCCTGACCCCCCATTCAAAGGAAGCACAGGGCTGCTAAACAGAAAATACACACACACTTTTAGGGCATAGAAGTTATTTATTAACTAGCATTCCTTCTTCAAAATGTACCCTGATGGAACTTGGGCTGATAACGGAAAGATTGGTGGCTTAACACTCCCCCTCCCCACCCCCCACCCCCAGCAGCTCTGTGGGAGAAATGCTACAGTCCATTTCAGCCATGAGCTCAGCCTCTGAAAGTCTGTGGAACAATTCCACTGTAGAGTTGCCATGACTTGAAATCAAATGGCAGTGAATTTGGTTTTGAGGTATTTTTGTTTTGTTTTGTTGATTTTACGCTTTCCTAGGTGATGCACCAGGGAGTCTTTTGGGCTGGATACTATGCTGGAGGGAATCAAGATTTCTAGGTTTTAATAAACAGTGAAAGAGCAAATATTGACTCATTAGAAAATGAACCTCAACAATCCTACCTGATACAAAGAAATGGGGATATTTCTTATGAATGGATTTGATTAAATTTTTTTGATCCCTAATTATTTAAAGAAAAAAAAGATAAAATGAAACCAAACCTTTGTGTGGCCTAACCCCATCCATCCTCATGGTATTTATGATATCATACTCCCATAGATGGTAGCATTGCTTGGTCTCGGCTCAAGTCTCTTTTTTTGATAATTAGCACTAGACACATAAACTCAAAATGATTGTTAAGGAGAGGATATTTTAAGATAGGGCTTATTTTTAATAATACTGTCTAGTGACTATAAATAAATCCGTGCTCATTATTTAAAAGATGATCATTAAAAAAACAAGTAGAAGTAAAGCAGTAAGATTTCGATTACAAGTGAGCGACGCTTGTGACCCATTGAGCCAACAGTGAGGGAGAAAACAGGTTTCAATGGTGGATACTCTTTATAGCTGCCAGCCTAACCTATTCCTCCTTCTTCCTGATCCTCAAGCAAGTCTGACAAACAGGGAGGGGAAAGACATCCCGAGGTCTTTGAGTAACAGGTGATGCACACTTACTTCCTTTTCCAGTTTTGCAATGATGAGAATCACAACCTGACTTTTTCAACAACTTTAATGGATGCCACTCATTCTGAAAAATTATGTATTCTGATTCAGTGCATGTAGCTTAACTTGCTGACTGCCCAGCAACGGGCTGGAATGACTATCACATCGGTGTGATGGGCATTTTATGGTCCTATGACGCCGTTTGACATTTAGTGAGTGATCAATAAATGCTGGTTGAAAGTGGATGATGTTGCTAATTTTGTCCTTTATGCTCTTGTAAATATGCATAATGTTCATTGGGGCACATGGGTAAGACATTTCTTTTATTCCTGTTGTATAGTTGATAAATTATCAACATTATTATTGAGACACATTATGTATCTTTTAATTCACAATGAATGTATGTGGAATGCTGAAGAGGAGTCAAGGAGTAAGCTTTTCTGCTGAGATAACAGGCATCTTTTAATATTCTAGCATATGGCCGTTTCCTGAAAGTATATTCTATGACATTTTTGATGGTGTGTTACCATTGCAAATAGGACTTATTTCCACTGACAATGTTACTGAAGAAGAGTTCTAGCAGTTGCTCATGGAATGAATGAGGTAACCAGATTGTGAGATGATCTATTCTAAAGCAAAAAAGACACTTGAATAAATGCTTCCAAAGCTTCCTTTGCTTTTTCAACACTCTGGCTGAGCCTCATCTTGTCGTGTTTTCTTTCCAAATGAATACAGGAACAGGGGTCTGCCTCAATGTCTATATACACAGGCATTTGAAAACGCACTCTAAAATAAATGCAGCCAACAAATATGCATTGCAAAATTAGTGTTTTAACAAAAATCCCCACTGAAGAGCTAAATCATCATTCAGTTTATAAAACTCTGCTATCATTTCTCATGGTGGAAAGATCACTGATTAGGGAAAAGGGTACGCTGTTTTTTGTCGTTATCTAAATGAGTTACTTCATTCTCATAGACCCCCATGGTCTTTGGTTTAGTAAGTGAAAGTTGGGGTAGATGTTCTCCAACATCCTTCCCAGTTACATCATAACTTAGACAAAATGAGATGTCCCTGGTTTCAGTGGCTAGAGAGAGATGCAATTAAAAGGAATGTCATCCTGATTTACTTTTCTCATTGGATATAGCGTGGAGTCAAATAATACGTACCCAGCAACCACCTACTGTGTTCTGAAAACACTGGGTCCTGTCAAAAGTAGACCTACTCATTGATTCTACTTTTGGCTTACCAAAAATATAATTTAGTTCACATAAGGGGAAATTGAATCCTAGACAATAATCACATTCTCGATGTTTAGTATCTACTTTGACTATTTGTGGAAAGGTATTGCCCCTTTATGTATGTAGGTATTTCAAACTATTGCTTATAGCACCTCAAAGCAGATCTCATAGCCTGTTTATATATCTAAAGTAATCCAAACATGGGAGCAAAGAATGAATAAAACCAAACCAAGGTCCCACTCCATTCTGACTCCGACCCTCTGGCGTGGGCAGAGCTGCGCTGTCTGGGTCTACCAGAGGGGTGGGAATCTTCCAGAGGGCGGAAGAGGAAAGACTGAGACGAAGGGAAGGTCTCACCTGACCAGTGATTTCCAACTTTGGGATGTGGACTTTAGAAAATTCATGTCATTTTCAGTCTTTAATTTTTTTTCTTCAAACTGCCTTAATTTGTTAGCATTAAGTATCGCATTTTAGAAAAGGATGCACATATTCTGATGAAAATGATGATGACGATAATCCTCCGAAAGGTGTCCTGACAATATCAGCCATCAGCATAAGGAGGAGCCCAGGAGGTGCCCTGTGGTGACACATTGGGCTGCGATCTGCGTGGCTGCCAGTTTGAAATCACCGTCAGCTCTAGGAGAGAAAGACTGGGGGTTCTGCTCATGTAAGTGTTAGTCTCAGAAAGCCACCTGGGTGGGGGTGGAGGGTCACTATAAGTTAGCATTGACTCCATGACAGTGACAGAGAGAGAGAGAGAATCATGATGATTATTTTTGTTCACTATTGTTGACTGGTTTGAGTACCAAATACATAATCTCTGCTTACCTTCTGAGGGAAGTAAAGGTGGATCCAAGGTGAAACTTGTGACAAAAATGCAATTCGTCCTGAGTTGCGAGTGAAGAGGTATCACAGAATGTTTACTCCTGTAGTGCTCTGGCATCCAGCTGACGTATATTTTATATTACAAACACAGGGAGTAAACGTGAGTGGAGCAAATGACGTATGCTCCTGGAAGTTGGCCGTTGGCACTGAGCCAGCAGCAGCACAGCATGAGGGCCTGGCAATCTGCATCCCTAAAGATTATGTCGAGCAACCCTTATGAAGCAGTGCTGCTCTGTGGCACATGGGGACTGACTTCACAGCAATGCATTTGATTTTAGTTGGTGACGTAATGTATTTAATCCTCCGTTCACCAAGGGGGCCTTGGTCACCACCAATGTAGAAAAATGCAGGAATTTCAGGAACTGTAGAAAGTAAATGGGGAAGGTGATATTTATCTGCTGTTGTTATTTTATGAACCATTTCATGTCTCCTTATCTGCTCTAATATATATGAGCCAGGTGTGTTGGACAGCACCTTGCAAGGTTAGCAGTTCAAACTCACCAGCCTCTCCTTGGGAGAAAGAAGAGGCTGTCTGCTTCTATAAAGATTCAACAGCCTAATGGACTCAGTTGCAGTGGGTGTTCCTTGGTTTTTTAGAGACAGGGCAACGTGGAGTAAATTAATAAATTACTTAATAAATTAAGTAATCTTTTAAAAATTGTTTATCCGCATGCCCTCTGGGTCTGCAGTTAAGTAAATACAACCTTTTGCAAAGGCATGAGCCCAGCCTTGGACCAATTATAGAGGAAATATAAATACTGAGTAAATGAAAGTTTATGGCAATTAACTTGAATAACTGAGGTCCAAAATCAAACCACTGAGTTGATTGAGGCTCTTCAAAGGAGCCCAATGGCACAGTTCCAGACCCCCTCCTGGAATGTAAGCTCATGCTTGCCAGGACTGCCATGTGAAGTTGAAACTCACTACAACTGATAGCGCCTCAATCAATATAATTACACATATGGCAGGGAAACTTTATCATGTCAAAGAATTGAATGAGCTATTTAATTAAATGGGGGAGAGTCCAAAATAAAACTTTGTGCTGTATTTTTATTGATGAAGTGGT